GTGCACCACGTGGAGGTAAGTCTATCGCACACCCCAGCAACAAAAATGAATTGAGCGGTTCTCGTAATTCTCTTTTATGTAGGTTATCACATTTGTGTATCGCGGTCTACAAATGCTTCCCTAATTAGAGGAAATGTCCAATTTTCCTAAAATGCTTTTTTTCCCAATTATTGCGGCTTAATTTGTTATAATTTATCAATAGGTCCCTATGCCCATCTACCATGACCGATTCTAATCATGGGTTCCTTTTCATTGACTGCATTTGAATCTGGACGGTGGCAAATTTGTATCAAATCTTTATGGTAGTTTTATCAAACAGGTATAATAATTTTCTGCTGGCGAAATTTCCCACTTTTGTTCATACATATGCAAAATACAAATTAAATGAAGTATTGTCTTTTTAACCAATAAAATTCCACTCCTTGACTTCTCATTTCTGCCTTTTACTTTTTATCTCATATCGTGGTTTTGTTTGTACTCTACCTTATATCTTCAATTAAACATTTGACTCAATTTCGAAAACATTGAAGGTGGCTCTGTTGATGGAGAATTGCTGTTTCTTGGTCTTCTGAGTAGTACTCGAGAAATCCATTTAACTGATTCAATGCCACGATAAATTAGTTTATTATCAGAAAAAGTTTAACTTCGTTCAAATAGCATTTATTATTCTAGTCACTCCACTAATAAGAAGGTTCGAATAAGTCAAAGTTTTAAAGTCAATTTGATAACCACCGAACTAAAGGCCACTTTGCTATCAAATTAGGCATAGGTAATATGAGAATGTGGTCAACTTGATGCTTCCAGAAATCAGGCGAAAATTCAGATTCCTGTCACTACTAGTTGAGATCTTCATAATTGCTGAAATAACTAAATTTTATAAAAATACATCCAAATGTTTCTGAGATATGAGTTTGACAAGTGCTGTAAGCCATTCGAAATCTAAGAAACAAGCTGGCTTGATAATTGCCGACCATTTTATGTACCCAATGTTGAATTATTTGGTCAATTTTTAAGAGAAAGAAAATTTTTTGTTTCAAAGAAGAAGAGCTTAAATTTTATTGCTCCAAGTAAGAATTAGCAAAATGATACCTGGTTTTTCCAAATGTATTTTAACGATAAAACAGTTTGGAGATACAAGTGGTATACCCCAACACAAAAATGAAAAGTAAGTTTCAGAATGTAGTGAAGTAAACAAAAATGTAATTTAATTCCCAATTAATAATTTTATTCAAGCAAAAAGTTATAACGAAATATGAAACACAGAATGGGAGATTGAAACCATTAAGTCATGACGCTAATTGACAAAAAACAATTTAGGAGGGGAAAATTGTCCATCTTATTGTGGAAGTGTTTCCCGTACAACCACAACCGTTCCCTTCGTCAACAGGTCAATGAGCAAAAAGGCAGCAGTCTCAAACGACAAGGTCATTGCGATTCCACCCATAAGAGTGGCCCAGAAGTGGAAATCCCGATAGAAGATGGCAAGAGCAGCGAGCATAAAAATGGCGCCAAGTAGAATTACTATGAAATTACCAATGGTGACCCATCTATTCCAATTGAAGACGGCTGCAATGGAGATGATAGCGCCAACCATGAATAGTGTAAGGGATGTGGCCATGAGGCCAGTCATTTGTTCATAGATGTAGTTGTTTAACCGGCAATTAGTAGAGAAAATGCAACCGCATTCATCGACAGATAAACCGATTGCCAAGCAAGTGAAAATAAGAATTGCTACCATGGCGAACACATACTTGATGTTGATGAGATTTGCGATGGTGAATTTGATCATTTTTCTTCTTCTAAAATAGGTAAGAAGCGTGAATATGAAATGGAAGCACGAAATACTATTCCATTTGTCAACAAAAGTTTTACAATCTTTTGGGCCACATATTTATATCGCTCTACTGGAAAGTCAAAATTCAGCAAAATTTCATTCAAATAAAATAGCAGTTCAATAAAGGTGAGTTTGTAACAAATGAAAGTTTAGGTGAAATGCTTAAAGCCATTTACACTTCTGTTCTTATGGATTTAACTTTTTCGGCTAAAAAATGTGCTTAAAAGATTTTTTTCTCCTCAAGAAAATGATTTAAAGAAAAACATGAAACGAGGCGATAAAAATGTCAAATGCTGATTAAAACTGGCTTCCATATGTGCTGCATATCAAAGACAAGTATTCGCTGTAATGCAAAGTGCTAATATTGGAATTTCACAATTTTGGACCCATTTTGTAGATTTTATCCAACCCGAACCCAGAAATGTAAATATTAAAATATAGCTACCTGATTCCTCGACGGTAATCTCAATAAATTTCGTTTTTAGTAGGATTTTATATCAATAAATGTCCTCTAATTTTCACCATTAACAAAGCAGTCCTTTAAATTTACAATTATTAATATTAGCTTAATAGCTTGGATCTGAATATACGTAAAAAGGTTTTTGATCACTTACCGAGAAAGAGTGAAGAATCGTGGTTTGATTTGACATCAATTAGAGTTGGTTTTTATATGCAACTCTAAGACGATTGGTCACTGCGATTTGATTGGATGAACAATGGTATCAAAACTTGGCTTTGTTGTGATACTGGTTCTCGGTTTTCGTTGGTGACAATGCAGTGTGCGTGTGTGTGTGCGCCTTTGACGATTAATTTGTCATCTTGACGAAAGCAGACCATTTTTATTAGATTCCACCATGCTTTGTTTGTTCAATGAAATAAAGTAGATTTATTTGGGGGCTGGTGTTTAGAATATTCAGTAGAGACATTTTCCCTCAATTTAAATGTTAGTGCGGAGAGTTGCACGCAATAAAGTTTTGAAGAGCTGACAAATGAATTGAAATTTTTCCCGTCTGAGGGCTTAAAAGAGGTTTTATATTTTAATATGAGGTGTGCGATAGACTTACCTCCACATGGTGCACCCTGGGCAATGTATACTCATACGGCAAGAAGTCTATAAACCAGCAGTTGACTTCTGACTTCAAACTATCATCACCTCCATTGTGTCATATTTGAAAACTTCTACAGTACTCACCTCACTATTTTTCTACCTTTGTGTCTGTCTCTTTGACATCTTTGAAACACTCTTCTGTTCCCCCTCCCCTCGACTTTTTTCACTTTGATGTTCATTCCCCTTTGTGAAGCCTGAAGTCAGCAAAAGGGCCAATGATAACTACCAAAACGCCCTATCATTTGATATAAGTAAATATTTTAATATTGGAGTTAACTTTAAAGTTATTTTGATATATTTTATTATCAGCGAAGAAGGTTTGTTAAAAGGTTGTCCCACGCTTCAATCACTAATCTCTTTATAAATTGCTAAGATTTAATGAATTCGCTTGAATGTTGATGCCAAAGCAGATAATTTTCAAAATTTTAGAAATGAGACATTTTAATATTGATAAATAACTTTTGTTTTTGCTAAACTGTAAGTTTTTGGTACATCTATTTCGCTTGACAAAAATCTAATATTTTGTCACTTGTTTCTACACAATTATGCGTTTTCACTGCACTGGATATTATCATAAAATATAGCTGGATTTTCGAATGTTATTTTGTTAAATTCCATCCGGACCGAACAGAAGTTGGCAAAGTTGAGTTTATTTTGCCCAACTCTGCACTTAACTTGACACTTACTTGGTTTCCTAAGATTGAACATTATAGAGTTCTTTACAACTCCAATAGACATTGGTATGCATCTCAATTTTTACAGAAATCCCTGGTATATCAAATGGCAGGCGTTTAGGTAGTTATCAGTAGCTGACTTCGTTCTTCACACAAGGGAGGATCATCAAGGTCTCAAAAAATCGATAGGGGAACAGAAAAGAAACAAAGTTAGAAAAAAGGTGAGGTGAGTACTGTGAAAGTGATCGAATATGACATAGAATAGGGTTATTGTAGTTTGAATTCAGAAGTCAACTACCGATTGATAGACATTTTTGCTGTATGAGTATACGTTGCCCAGGGTGCACTACGTGGAGGTAAGTCTATCGCACACACCAAGTTGGTCATTATATAAATCGATCATTATTAAAATACCGTTGACTTGCTACATGATTTGTAGTAGGGATTTACTCAAAGCTATATGATACGGTCTTCCAAGCTGGATGTGTCTTACAAATCGATTGATTGATCGGGTCTTTATTACAGGTAACAGTTGAATTATTTGCACGATATCTTGAACAACACAGATTATTAACTTGAATGATTTATCAAATTCAATATTTTTAAATTTAATAACTCATCCAAATAATGCTTTATCAGAATTTTAATTACAGCAACTCTCACCTCCAACCTTCTCCACCTCCCTCCCCCGCAATTAGGTATCGGAAAAGTAAAAACAGATATTTTGCCTACCTCCCAAGATATGGTATTCACTCTCTCCTTTGGGCATTAACAGCCAAGACTAAAATCCCTTACTAACGATTGCTATCTTAAAATATCTTTCCTGTTCAAATTTTAAATGCTAATTGATAGAGCTGACAGAAAAATACTTAGATCGTTTTATTCTTTTTAAAAATTTATCCAAAACCTGTTCTTATTGTTCAGTGATCAAAAAAATGCGGTTTAAAAAAGACAAAACAACTTTGTTTGCTAACGTTTATGTGTGATGGTTAAAAAGATCTTGTTCATTCAAACTTGTTAAGAATCCGACTTGTCTGTTATCTTGACTCGAAGTGCATTTGTGTTGTCTTGGGGGTGTAAACAGTACTGTTCCCTAGCCTCAAGTCATATTCAAGTATTGACTATCGATTTTTGAAGCGAATATCAATTGCCTAAAGCCAGGGAGTTGTACATAACTGTCGGTCAAGCCCAGGTTGATGCAGGAGAAAGATTTACACTTCAGATAATTTATTCTTCCCTCCTTTAAGGTCAGTAATTGGAACCTTTGAATGAGTTATTCAGATTCAAGATTTTATTGATAAATACAAAATCAGGATAATGCTTTTTCACATTGTCAAAATGTCATTTTTGGAGAAGTTTTCAATAACATTTTTGAAAAAAAACTATCAATTGTTAGTAGGTCAATTTAATAAATGGGAGGTTTACTCTGATAAAGGATACGAACTGAATAATTATCTATTGAGAAAATTGACTTGAAGATCAAAGAGTGTGAATGCATATCTGCGGTCGGTTATTTCATTGACAAAGGTCATTTTACTGCCTCTTCACGTAAGACAAGCACATAATTGGTTATCCCAACAGAAGATAATGAAAGCACTAAATATCAACAGTTAATCAATTAGAATCATCATCGAGTTGGCAGTAGTAACCCCGTAATGTAACCTCTAGACGCCCACAATTGCGACGGTAACTCAATCATGAAGAAGGAAAGAGATATATTGGGTTGGCACCTAAGTCATTGCCGTTTTTGTTGACAGATTCACTCTATACTTTCCTTTGTTTTGTTAACGTGGCCAGAGCATCTAACCTATATTTTTTTCTCACTGTATGGGCTTCTAGGTTAATTAGTAAAAAATTTTTTTGTTTAGTTCTTTAGTTTTGTTTTTATCCCAATTTAAAAATGAAAGAACAGGACGTGCACTTCCGACGCATTTTATTGTATTACTTCCGAAAAGGCAAGAACGCATCGCAAGCACAAAAGAAGTTATGTGCCGTATATGGAGATGAAGCCTTAAAAGAAAGGCAGTGTCGAAATTGGTTTGAAAGATTTCGTTCCGGTGATTTTTCACTGAAAAATTCACAACGATCTGGCCGCCCAATCGAAGTGGATGAAACCCATATCAAGGCCATTATCGATTCAAATGGTCACAGCACAACACGAGATATTGCAGAGAAGCTCAATGTGTCGCATACATGCATTGGAAAAAAATTAAAAACCCTTGGTTATGTCAAGAAACTTGATTTATGGATCCCTCACCAGTTAAAGGAAATTCATTTGACGCAACGGATCACAGTAGCATCTGTGATTCGCCGCTACTGAAACACAATGAGAATGATCCATTTCTGGAGAACCTAGTTACTGGCGACGAAAAGTGGATAGTTTATAACAATGTTACTCGCAAGAGATCATGGGTGAAGCAAGATGAACCAGCCCAAACAGTATCAAAAGCAGAGATTCACCAAAAAAAGATTATGCTGTCAGTGTGGTGGGATCACAAAGGAATTTTGTATTTTGAACTCATGCCGCAGAACCAAACGATAAATTCAAATGTGTATGTTGAAGAACTCGAAAAACTGAAAGAAGGATGCACTTGAAGATGAGCGGCCGGCATTATCAAATCGGAAGGGTGTTGTTTTCCATCATGATAACGCAAGGCCCCACACATCTTTGGTTACTCGGCAAAAATTATTGCAACTGGGTTGGGATGTTTTGTCACACCCACCATATAGCCCTGACCTTGCGCCTTCGGATTACCATTTGTTTCGTTCCATGCAAAACTCTTTAAATGGTAAAATTTGTAACAACGCGGATGATGTCGGATCACACTAATTCAGTTTTTTAATAGCAAAGACCAGACATCTTACGAACGGGGAATTTTTACTCTGCCAGAACGATGGAAAAAGGTCATCGACAAGAACGGCCGATATCTAATTGAATAAAGTTATATTTTTAAACAAAAATTCCGAATTTGCCTTCTTATTTGAAATCGGCAATGACTTAGTTGCCAACCTAATAATCAAACGACCTCCCATCTGTTTGCAAATATAATTCTTGAACCGACAGCTAGTAATGACAAACGGATCATTTCTTGGAATGGTATTTGCTATCCCTATAATAGACTTAATTATTTGAACTCCAACAAAGGTTGCCACATATAATATCGCAAAGATAT